ATTTGTCCTACAATAAGCTGGGAATCGCTGAACACCCGGATATGGCTGGCACCAATGTCTCTGGCTAGGCGGAGACTTGCTATTAATGCCTCATATTCGGCCTCATTGTTGTTTGCATCGGACAAAAACCAAAGAGCACACTTGAAATAACCACGCTCGGGGGTGGTGAGGATGAGGCCAACCCCACTGCCTTCTTTGCAAGATGATGTTGTAAGTAGAGGGGCAGTCGACAATAAGGAAGGTGACTAACTTTGTGGTCTGCCGCGGGTATTCGCCGATTGTGATGGGAAGATCGATGGAACCAATGGAGGTCACCCGGTCTCCAGTGAAAACGACCAACGGGGTTTGGAGAGGAGACAGACTGTCCTCCCCGATCTTGAGCTGGCGAAAGGCGTTTAGGAAGAGGATGTCGGAGGAACTGCCATTGTCGACGAGGACCCGTCTGACTTTGTAATTGGAGAGGAGGACAAAGATGACGAGAGGGTCGTCATGAAGGTAACGGATGCCTATGCAGTCGGCCTCCGTGAAGGTGATGGGCTCCATCCACTATTTGGGTTGTTTGGGCTGTTTGGAAGGGCAGTTCAATGTGGCAACTTTTTTGTCTGAGCCCTGCCTTATTTTTCTGAGTTCTGCCCGTTGGGCTGAGTGGGATGGTCCTCCACAACCAAGCCCGCTAGCAATAACTCTGATTTCTCCAACAGGTTGGGTGGGGTTACCTTGTGCCCGGGGTTGCTGTGGAGGGCGATCATAACCCTGGTTGGGCTGTGCTTGTTACCGTAAAGGGGTACGCCGGCAATTGTTTCTGATGGGTTCAATCCTTTGCCTCTGCTGGGGGCGAGCTTCCGTGAACCGACTGAGACGTCCCTGACGGATCAGGCCCTCGACCTGGTCTTTGAGGTTAACACACTCTTCAGTGTTATGGCCATGGTCCTGGTGGAAGCAGCAGTATTTGGACTGGTCTCGCCGGTTAGAAGGAGACCGCGAAGGTTGGGGCCATTTGAGGAGAGAATCTCGCTGAATCTAGTTCAAGACTTGTTCTATTGGGGGAGTTGAGGGGTGTGTATCTTTCGAACCGGCCGGGCGGTCAGGTTGATGCCGACCGGTCGGCTCAGGGTGATCGATCTATATATTGAGGTGTTTGGTGAGTGAACTGGGCATTTCTGGTTTCAGAGTCCTTTCTCTTCTCTCTGGGAGTCGGGTTTTTTGCTATAGGATCTTTTCGAGCGGCTACGGAATCTTCGACGTTCATGTATTTTTTGGCTTTGGAGAGTAGGGTTGCCATAGAGGTCGGGGGGTTTTTAGAAAGGGAGAAAAGGAAGTCAGATGACCGTAGACCGGCCATGAAAGCCGTAAGGATGACCTTGTCATCATTTTCCTCTGCCTGCAAGGCTTCGGTGTTGAAGCGGGTAACGAAACTGCGCAGCGACTCCCTCTCGGTCTGACGGATATTGAGGAGTTGGGTTGCCGGACATCGCTGGCACTGGGCTCCAATCAAAATGGCTGAGGAAGGAGTCATTGAGGTGTTGGAAAGTGGAGACAGAGTCTGCCGGCAGTTGACGAAACCAAAGTCGAGCCGACCCCTTGAGTGTTACAGGGAAAGCTCGACACATAATTTCATCAAGGAATGCATGGAGTTTCATGAGGGTCTGGTAGGTCTCCAGGTGATCGACGGGGTCTGTTGTACCGTCAAAAGAGTCGATGGTGGGCATTTTGAACTTAGGCGGTAGAGGTTTGTCCCGGATGGAGGCAATGAATAATGAGTTGGCTGTGGTGGATGGTTTATTCGGTATGTGCTGCATGACTCCTTGGAGCTGGAGCTTCATGGCTCGGAGTTCTGCATCCCAGAGAGGGACGTTGGCACCACCGGAAGGGAATGGGGGCTGGACGCTACTGGCCTCTCCCTCGGGGGTGGGTGCCTAGATCGATGGGTGTGGGGCCCGAGGGGTTAGGTTCATATTTAGGGGAAGTGGTCGCAAGCCCTCCAAGTTGGGCGGATGGGGCTGCTGGATAGTGTGGCTCGGGGCTCGTTCTTGGTTGGGTGAGATATCTGGAGGTGGTGGAGGGGGCATAGGAGGGTTTCTTTGGAGTAGAGCATTAATCAGGGCTTGGTGTTGCTCGGCCAAGCGGTTAATGCTGTTGGTGAGCTCGGTGAAATAATGTGGTGGGTTGTTTGGATTGGGAAGGTCGGCTTGGTGGTAGGCAACATTGTGGTGAGAAGCTATGGATCTAGTCGTGACCATACACCTTGGTGGGTGGCAGGAAAAGGTTATCGGGACAGGATCTCCAGCGACAATGACAACAACTGGCGCGCGGAGCAAAGCTTTCCCACAGACGGCGCCAACTGATGATACTACGGATTCTAAATAGAATGGATCGAACTGATCCACGCTTCCCAAACCGGTGTTCGAGTGTCCAAGCCCACAAAGGAACCTGCACAAGAGTTCAACGGGGAACGGGGAGTCCCCTAGCGAACCCACTGACGAGCAAGTTAGAAAGAGAGGTGGAATGTAGAGATAGATTAGAGGTAGAAAGCTTAACCTTCTTCTTGTCTTCGACGTCTGCTTATATCCTCTGGTAATCATTTCGTTGTCCCTCCCGACCTGTCGCCATGGCCCAAAGTCTATGCCCTAGCTTGCCTTGTTCATGGTGAAGCCGTTCTGTCTCGACGGGGAGGGCTTATCGCAATAAATGCTGTAAATGGCTTCATTTATGGTTGATGTGCAGTGCAATAACTTTGTAGGATCTTTGTTTGCTTATGTGGCTTGTCCTTCTCCTGCCACGTGTCTGAGTGTCATTGGTTCTTAATGCCATGTTGACTTCCAGCCATGTTGGGCCTCATCAGTTGAATTATGTATTGAGCCCTAAGTGGTGGGCTTGGGTTGTTCATAGTGGGCTATAGCCTTTATGGGCCTACCCATGTCAGGTTACATTGGGAACTCCACAATAAGGTGGGAGAGAGAGAGAAGAGAAGAAGGAAAGAAGGAAGATAGGAATTGAGCAAATCTTCACCCAAATCAACCATTATAGGTAACAATCTTCCTTTGATTTTATGAATCTAAGTTGTATTGCACATGAGATTGTAGAATTTAAGTTGAATTAAGAAGTTGGATGGTAAAAATTGATGTTGAAAATCCTAAAAGGAGAAATTGAGAGAAATAGTTGATATTTTTGTCATACATGGCATTTTTCATGATCAATCACTCGTTTCTTCCATGACTCTTGTAGATGGATGAAGAAACTCCATGGATTTGGATTTTGAGACTTAACATTTCCATGGTCCTTGATTTTGCCCTTAACTATAAAGTTTTGATCTTGTTTCATAGCAAGTGGGTTTGTTTTGAAGTCATGGTTTAATTTGAAGTTAGAAATTGGTCGTTCAACATGTTTTTGGGAGTTTTGGGTTTTGACTTGCATGAAATTGAAGTTGGGTTTGCAAAAATGGAGCTTCAACTTTGAAGCAGATTTCCGGACTAGAACTTCACCCAGATCACTCAAGCGACCTGGGCCAACACATGAGTGGCCAATTCTTTTTCTTGTTGAAATGCATTATGTTTTGGCGCAGCACGCCACCACTCGAGCAGTCGACCCTCCCCTACTCAACTTTGTATTTTGCTCACTAGAGTGGCCAAGGCCACCGCATGTGCGGTTAGTAGGGCCGGCTTAATTTTGTTTTCCTTTCTATTTTCTCGAACTTCTAAGTCTCTGGTTGCATGGTTTCCAAGTGTTTTTCATGTGCATTCGCATCTCATGAATACAAGGGAAGTTAATGAAAAGGAAAGATTAGTGGTTAAGTAACGAATAGGTTATGAAGGGATTACATGAGAGGACTATATGTTGAACCATTGTTCTTGAATGTGTCTGTGTAGGTCAAATGCCGTGTCCTACACATGCGTTCCAAGGAGCCAACTGTAAGTAACAACCTTGTAAAGATACGTTCAATTATAAGTATTTTCTAACTTATACTATACTCCGTTTCTAAAATGATATTTTCTGCTTAAATGAATAATTGTCCTGTTTTCTGAACTGTGGCATCCTTAGTATTTGTTTACTGTTACTGTTATAGAGATATCTATCAGTTCCAATTCTTGGAACTTTTGTTTACTGTTTTGATGGCATATCTATCAATTCTGATTGTTCGGTCTTCATGACCATCTGTACTATTCTGCTATTGGATGTACCGTGTATGACTGATATGTTTTCTATATAAAATATGGATCTACTAGGGAAATGTTTCTAATTTTCTGTTTACTGCTATAATTAACTGATTTGGATTACAGTAAGGACAACATTCTTAATTTCTTTAGATTGTTGTTATTCACTGGGCTCTAGCTCACACTTTTATCTATGTATGTAGCTGATCAAGTGCAAGAAGGGACATAATGGCTTTGACCTAGCCTTTGTTTTGTCAAGCCAACTTTTGTGCCTCACCGTGAGGTTCCCACTGGTCATGTGTCAAGGCTTTTGGGTGGTTCGGGATCCACTCTTTTGTGACTGGATCTAAGAATATGAATGTTTTGCTTGAGTTTTGTGCATCTTCTGATAATGAACCCAGTTTTGTTATGTTTAGAGATGCAAGCTTGTTATAGACTAATGTACATATGTGTATATATGAAAGTTCCTTTTGTCCCATTTAAGTCTTAAAAGCTTGTTGGGCGTTTTATTTCTTATTTAATTGGCTTCTGCCAGCCCCATTACTGTATTACTATTACGCAGGCCTTTTGTAATCTTAGATTACTGGTCGGTAATGATGCTAAACCTATAGGGGCAGGTTTGGGTCATGACAGAGTGGTATCAGAGCACGATTTATACCGCACACACACGTCCAAATGAGCTACAGGATGTCTTAGAAAAGCAAATAGGGCATTGCATGAACATGAGTGGGTGTGTGTGGACTTCTGATGTGCATTTGTAATGTAATGTAAATGTGCATCTCTAATGTAAATGTACTTGTTAGAACTTCAATTCCTATGTTTATTATTACCGTGTTTGCATATAGACCGATGGAGAATACAAGATATACAGATGAATCTAAATCATCGGATGCAAGAATTGACCAATTGGAAAGGATGGTTGTGTTACTGACTGAATCTTTGAGACAACAACAGAGACAACCATTTCCATCTCCTCCTCCTCCACCAATCCTAGTTGAACCACACAATAATGATGACACTATTGCCCTGGCACAAAAATTTAATAAAATGAAGCCGCCAACCTTCCAGGGAGGTCTTGATTCAATGAAAGCTGAGGCATGGGCCTTGGATATAGAAAAGTTGTTTGAGGTTTTCCCATGTACAGAGGTGCATAAGGTTTTACTAGCCACCTTTACTCTGCAAGAGGAAGCAAGACAGTGGTGGATGCTTGTTCGAGACAATAATGGCTCCATGACATGGGTTCAATTTAAAGAAGTCTTTTATGAAAAATACTTTCCACAATGTGTCCGAGTTCGCAAGGTGTCTAAGTTTGAGCAGTTGAAACAAGGTAATTTGTCTGTGGCTGAATATGAGTCTAAATTTACAGAGCTTGCTTGGTATGCGCCACACATGGTCAATTCTAACTACAAGAAAGCTAGAAAATTCGAGAGTGGACTGAAAGTTGAGGTGCTGGACTGGGTGAATGTTCTTAAACTGACAAAGTATGTTGATGTTCTGGATAAAGCTCTTATGGCTAAAGCAAATATCACAGCATTAAAACAGGCCAAGACACCGAGTAGGAGGGGAAAAGTTAAGGGTTTAACTTTAAGAAGGGCTAGAACAACTCGAATAACTAACAGAATAAGAAACATAATACAAGGTCGTTGAATAGTTCTAGCCAAGGAAATAATACCCCACTTTTCCCGGAATGTGGAAAAAAACATAAAGGTGTTTGCTATAAGATTTTTGGAGCTTGTTTTCGGTGCGGAAAAGCAGACGACATGATTAAGGATTGTCCTCTTATATCCCAAAGCACGAGTAGACCCATGGTAAGTTCAGCCGCATCAGCCTCAACACCGAAGTCCAATCCGAAAGCTGCTACGGGGAAGGAAACTTTGCTGCAGGGACGGGTTTTTGCACTTGTATCGAGGGTGTGCAGAATGTAGAGACGGTAGTGTCAGATATACTCTCTATATGTGCCCAAAATGTTTATGTTTTGATTGACTCGGGGTCTACGCACTCTTTTGTGTCATATGCTTTTGCTCAAAAATTAACTAGACCTTTGGAGCCGATGAACTATTTATTAATTGTCTCTTCACCAACTAGAGGGTCCATGACTTGTGCTTATATGTACCCTGCGTGTGAAATTGTTGGTGGGGATATGATTTTATATGTTGATTTATTGCCTTTACATATGGATCATTTTGATGTAATTCAAAAAAAAAGGATGGTTTATTGAGGCTTTGCATTGATTGTTGTGAATTGAACAAGGTGACTGTGAAGAACAAGTATCTGTTGCCTCGCATTGATGAACTATTTGATTAGTTGCAAGGTGCCCAAGTATTTTCCAAGATTGATCTGAGATCTGAATACCATCAACTGAAAATGAAAGTTGAAGATATGGAAAGAATGCCTTTCGAATAAGGTACGGACATTACGAATTTCTAGTTATGCTTTTCGGAGGTACTAACGCGCCAGCTGCTTTTATGGATTTAATGAATAGAATTTTCAAGCCATTTCTCGATGAATTTATAGCAATCCTGGTTTTCATTTCTTTGTTTGTTGTATTCCGGACTCGGTTCCGTGGAGTTGGTGGTTGTATATCTTGTTGTCATCCTTTAATTCCATACGTTTAAGTTTTAGGATGTGTTGGGCATGTTTCGAACAGGTAGGTTGAGTTTTGGTCTCAAGTGTTGTTGCCCAGAATTTTGGTATTACGCTCGAGCGGGCCATTCAGCGCTCGAGCGGAGTTTCATTTTTGGTTGTCCGCTCGAGCGGGTATTCTTGTGCTCGAGCGGGGTTTACACACTCCTAGTATTTCGTGTACCTGCAAAACTTCTGCAGGTGTGCTTTTCACACTCGAGCGTGTTTCCTTACACTCGAGCGGGTCACGCTCGAGTGGGTATCTTGGCGCTCGAGCGAGTAGTGCTTTGTCTGTGAAAGTTCTGGGAGGGGGAAATCCACGCTCGAGCGGATGTATTTTATTCTTGTGTCTTGGTGCTCGAGCGTATCTAGATTTTTGTGCTTGACGCTCAAGCATTATATTCTCCGCTCGAGCGAGTTATGCGTATAACAGAGGGCAGCTGGGCATTTTTGAATCACTTTTTACACTTCCTCTCTCTCTCTTACTTTCCCAAAATCGATTTTGAGAGCTCCTCTCTCTAGAAAATATCTTCTCTCTAGGGATTGATCTAGTTAGAGTGTTCTCCTTTCCTTCGGCCTTTGTGAAAAGTGTGTTGATCGTCGAGCGCTACATTTTGATCCATAAAGTTTGGTATTTGGAGCATTTTGAATTTCTTCATCTTCTCCGTTTGAGCTCTAACTTCGAGTTAGGGATATCCTACTCCATCTTATGAGCTTTGTCTTTGAATTTTGGCATTTTGATATGTTGGGAGTCGTTGGGTAATTTTGTGAAAGTTTGGGGTCATTGTGTAATTTTTCAAAAGGTGGGGTTTCAAACATTTAAACCTTTATGTGTGTAATACATTGGAAAATGGACTCGGTGTTGGATTATTGATGAAAATGGAACCTTAGGGTTGTTGTAATTATGGGAAAAAGCCCTAATTGTTGATAGATTAATTTGTATAATTAATTTTGGGAAATGAGAAATTGAATAAGAAATATTCAAATCGGAAAGGTATGGGATTAAAGATTGGAGTTGGATTAATTTATTGCTCACCTAGATAAATGTTGTATGTTATCCATTTGATGCATTTATTTCCTGTTTAGAGATAACTGGTTTGGGCTATCGGTGGAGGATAGTCTTGATTGTTGTAGACAATGCATGATGATTAGGCAAACTAAAACTAATCAATGGAATGTGTCATCGAATATGACGGTTGGAATAATACATTAACCTTATGTATTGATTGATTGTGTGTATGATAATTGTTTATATGCACTATGTTGTGTGGGAGGAGATAGGGGATATACTCCACGAGGGAAAGATAGGGGATGGACCTCTAAACCGAAAGTTGTTTTCCATTGATACAGCACTACAATGTGTATCATATGTGAAATATGGAAATGTTTTTGTTATATTGATACAGCACTAAAATGTGTATCATTTGTGAAGTATGGAAGTGATTTTGTGTGTTATTGATACAGTACCAAAATGTGTATCCATCATGAATTGCGAACGTATTTTAGTAATGAGATACAACCTCATTAAATTGCTTGGCCAGGTTCAGAGCCTCGTTTTCAAACTTAAAGTTGAGTAAGAAATGGAAAATGTGATATGATATGAGTTGGAGTATAAGTGTGAACCATCTATCGAATGCTATCATTTTAGTCATTGTTTATAGTTGGTTTAGTATATTTCTACTGGACTGTGGCTCACTCTATATGGGACATTATTTTCAGGTACAGGTAGCATGCTACCTCCAAGGACGTAGCTTGGGAGGCTTGAGGCTGTTGAATTCTTTTGTTGTTTTGTTGTATTACATGTATATCAAGCCAAGGGCTTTCTTTGTAAAGAGTTAGCGCTCTCTTTTTGTAACCAAGTGTTGACTTGAAAAGTTGTAAGCCCATAGGGCATTTACTTTTAATGTCAACATGTAATACATTTTGTAAAGATTACTCTGATGGAATATGTTTATGCCTTCTTCTCTTATGTTTAAGCATGCTAGTGTTGGATGATTTATGGGTTTATTTTGAGGGCGTTGCAAATTTGTTGTTGTTTTTATCAATGACATTTTGATTTATTCCAAAAGTAAAAACTTGAGACTTGCCTTGCAAACCTTGAGGGAGAAGAAATTATATGCTAAACTATTTAAGTGTGAATTCTGGCTTGATAGTGTTATGTTTTTTGGTCATGTGATTACTAACGATGGCATTTCTGTTGATCCGCAAAAGATAGAGGCAATTATGAATTGGCCTAGGCCGACCAGTGTTATCGAAGTCTGTACTTTTTTGGGTTTGGCCGGGTACTACCGCAGATTTGTGAAAGACTTCTCTAAAATTGCCTTGCCACTTACGCAATTGATGCAAAAAGGGATACCATTCGAATGGACTGATCAAATAGAGTCAGCTTTTCACGAGTTGAAGACTCAACCTGTCACTGCACCAATTCTCACCCTACCTTCAGGTACAGATCGTTTTACCATTTTCAGTGATGCGTCTTATAAGGGCTTAGGATGTGTGTTGATGCAGAATGGTAAAGTGATAGCTTATGCTTCCCGATAGCTGAGACCGCATGAAAAGAATTGTCTAACCCATGATTCGGAGCCAGCAGCAGTAGTATTTGCATTAAAGATTTGGCGCCGCTACCTCTATGGGGCAACATGTGAAGCATATACGAATCACAAGAGTCTCAATTACTTTTTCACCCAAAAAGAGTTAAATATGAGAATATGAAGATGGTTGGAGCTGATAAAAGATTATGATTTGAAAATCTTGTACCATCCAGGGAAAGCCAATACCGTTGCGGATGCACTTAGTCGGAAATCTATTGGGAACCTGGCTTGTTTACTTACCGAACAAAGGACATTACTATAGGATTTAGAAAGATTTGAAAATGATGTTGTTTTGTGTAAACAAGGCGGGGTTATAGCTATTATTTCTGCATAATCGGCAATCCTTTAAGAAATCAAAGAAAAATAGGTACAAGATGAATTTTTGAAGAAAGTTGTAGATGAAATGGACTCCAAATTGAGACCAGGTTTCATTTTTTGAGAATGATGTACTGAAATTCCAAGGAAGGTTTTGTGTACTGAATGATGCTGAATTGAAGAAACGAATTATGCAAGAAGCACATAGTTCAAAATTCACCATCCATTCGAGGAACACCAAAATGTATCAAGACTTGAAGCAAAATTTTTGGTGGTCAAGAATGAAAAGAGAAATCGCTAAGTTTGTGTCTAAGTACTTACAATGCCAACAAGTTAAAGATGAACATCAACGACCCGTGGGATTACTCCAACCATTACCGATACCGGAGTGGAAATTGAAGCATATTACAGTAGACTTCGTCGTTGGACTACCTCGCTCCAATAGAAGTATGGACTCAATTTGGATTATCTTTGATTGCTTAACTAAATTGCTCATTTCTTACCTGTGAAAACAATCTATAATGCGGATAAGTTGGCTACACTGTATATTAATGAGATTGTGAGATTGCATGGAGTGCTTGTCTCAATTGTTTTTGATAGGGATCCGAAGTTCACTTTGAGATTTTGGCAGAGTTTGCAAAAGGCATTGGGGACCGAATTGAGATTGAGCAGTGTATATCATCCTCAGACAGATGGCCAATCAGAAAGGACAATAGAAACTCTGGAGGATGTGTTACGCATGTGTGTATTAGATTTCCAAGGAAATTTGGAAACTCATTTGCCTTTAGCTGAATTTGCATGCAACAACAGCTATTATTCAGGAACTAGCATGGCACCATACGAGGCATTATATGGAAGGAAATGCCGATCATCGATTTGTTGGGCTGAGGTTGGAGATGGACCTTTGTTGGGACCCGAAATTGTGCAAGAAGCAATGAAAAAAGTAAAGCTAATTCATTAACGATTGAAAATAACTCAAAGCCGACAGAAAAGCTACGCAGATGTTCGTAGACAGGATAGAGAATATAAAGTGGTGTAGCTTGCTTTTCGTGTTCCTCGGAGGGGTTTAGTCTCCTCGGATACGATAGCTCTACAGTTCGGACTCCTGTGGTTTTGAAT